CCTGGCGGTGCGGCGGCTTGTATTTGCTCGGGGGGCTGTCAGGGAAAGGCCGTGGGGGTCCAGCCGTCCCCCTCTTCCTCCCCCATCACACCAGCCAGGAAAGCGCACATGCCAGAGAGGCGCTGCTTTCCCCGTCCGTGCTGCGGCTCTGCTCCCTCCTCGCTCCCCGGGGGAGCTGTCGTCGGCCAAGGAAGGTTTTGCCCCAGAGCCTGGCTTTTGGGGGCCCCGAGGGTGGCTCGTGGCACGCCCGCCAGCGCAAGTGTCCTGCAGCAGCTGCCAACAGGGACAGCAATGGACCGGGTTTGGGTGTTAGGCCTGGGAGGTGGGCGCTTGGCTTCCAGCAGCGGGCTGAGACCCCAGCAGGTCTCCACGGAGGAATGGTATCCGCCTGGTGCTGTTTGACAGCAGAGTCTGCGTGCATTTCGTCCCCGCTCTTTGAGATGAGTGGTCTCTTCTGCCACAGATCCTCTTAGAGAAGTCTTTATGCGTGCTTAACTTGGTATCCCCTCCGCTTTTCAGGCAGCACCGAGGTCCAATGCTGTGGGGCTGCTGAAGGACGCCGACCTACGGGCAGCCCTGGACGTGCTGCGGTGTTACGACTTGCACTCAGTCGTGGAGGAGTGGTTCATCGAGGTGCTGCAGACGGACCTTCAGGCAAATATAGCTCCTGAGTTCTGGAACTGCATCAGCCAGTATGAAAACACAGCTGAGGAGCCCCAGTGCTCCTCGCTCCTTCTGGACGCGTTTTGTCTTCTCAAGTGCCGCCTGGACCCCTACCTGAACAGCCTGGAACTTCTGGAGAGGTGGACCAAGGCAGGCTTGCTCCTGGGGACAGGCGCTCAGATGCTGCAAGAAAAGGTCTACACCATGTTCAAAGCTATCCTTTTCTTCTCCACTACCAAGTCCTTCCAGGAGATGATCCAGCAGTTCTACAGCCGCACTTTCAGGATATACATGCGGCAGTGGAAGAAGGGAGAAGATGGAATGAACGAGTGCGAGAGCAGCATGAGTGAGACCGAGCAGGAGAGTGATACGGAGGAGGGCGGAGGAGAGAGCTCGCTGTGCGCAGGCTGCAGCAGCAAGAGAGAGCAGTGCTGGTGCCCCAAAGCCATGGAGCAGTTTCAGCAGCTCAATGACATTCTGTACGTAGGTTACGGGGTGGTGGCTGTCGCTCAGAACAAGCAGATGGTCCGGATGGGGAGCAGCAGCAAGTTTTCTTGATATCTGGAAACGGGAGGAGTTACGGGTGAGGTCAGGCTGTATCATGGTACTGGTTAGAGAACTTGACACAGGGTTTCTGCAGCTGGTTGCCAACTGGTGATTGAACTAGAGCAGGTCTTTAGACAGAAAGTTCCTCTCCCTGGGTCTGAGAATATCTTCCTCGTGCTCTAAGGCCTTCTGTCCACAGAGAAGCAAACTTTTCTAAATGAAAAAGTTTTTGATGGCTAGAAAATAATGTTTCTAAGGAAGATGGGATAGAAGTAGTGTCACGTGTTACATATGTAGTGCATCTATGTGGCTATCAGAGCATTTAAACTAAGAGCTATGCCTGCATCTGTGGACCATACAGGGAGGAAGGTGCCTTCAGGTAGTTAGGTTTTCTTCATTTGCTTGTACCTTTGCTTCCATCGCTCTGAATCGGATCATTGTCTGTGTCTGTAGCCGCCGGCTGAATTTGCTGGAGAGAGTGAGCGCCGATGCTGTCACGACCATCTTGCACAGGATGATAGAGGAGAGGATGGAGCAAAGATGCAGGGGGGAATACGAGCACTCCTTCCTGAATGAGTTCCAGGAGGTAAGGAAGGCGTGCGGGCAGCAAGGGCCCTTCCTTTGGAGACGTGCAGCTGCTCCTGTTACTGCTTTAGCAGCTCAGGCTAAAAGCAGATTCCACGTGAAAACACCTGGTCCAGGGCTATGACTCCCACCATCCCTGGCAGAAGAGGTGGTTAAAACTCCCCATTTCGATTTACGCTAGAGGGGAAGGTTTGCTCCGACCTGCGCCTCATGGACCATTATATTTCACCTGGTGATGTCCGTAGTAATGAGAGAATTTCTGTGGTTCCGTTTTACAAACTACAAGAACACATAGTGCCGCGTAGCCTGCAGAGGACCCTCCCTCTGCGTAGGTGGGCCCGTAATTAGAATTTGTGTGGCTGTTTTCTGTCGTCTTTCCAATTTTTCAGCACCTCTTTAAAATAGGAAGCGAGGATGGGAGGTGATACTCTGGTATTGATCTCACCAGTGGGCCACATACAGAATTAAAATCCTTCCTTGCAACTACCCAGTTGTTTTGCTGCTACCTTAAACCGAGTTCGTGTTGGGCTGTTTACCCAGTATGACCTTAAAATAAAATTCTTCTCCGGGTTATGGCTCTTCCAGGATACAGTCCTGGCGCTGCAGGCTTGCCCTGCACATTTTGTTCCTCAATGCATGACCTTGCCTTTGCCTGTGTTGACGAACAGTGCGTGAAGTCAGGTTGCCAGGCAAACCAGACGGCTCTCTGTGGTTGCCCTAGTTTCCTCGCTCTTTGCCATGCCGGCCGTTTTTGTCGTCTGCAAACATCGGCAGTCATTTTATATTTACTTTCCTTTAGTTGCTGTGCAACGCTTTCTTTAGTGGACCTAGTGTGAAATGCTTTTGGATGACCTGGAGATTGTTTAAGGACATTTTAAGGGCACCAGAGAAAATGCAACTGCATTCCGCTTGTCAGACGTTGCAGAAGGTCCCCTTGCTCCCACCTCTTCAGAAAGGCCAGCGTGTTTGGCCGCAGAATATTGGAGCGTGTCAGAATTAGGAAGAGGCAACTTTTTAAAAAAAAAAAAAAAAAAGTAGAAGTGGTGTCTTAATTGGGAAGATATTAAAAAAAAAAAAAAAAAGAGAAGAAGCACAAGCCTGGCAAGCTAAAGGTAAAATAGGAGAAGTCTGGGAAACAGCTTGCTAAAAGTACAAGTGCTGACAGCAAACCCCCTTTCCAGACACATCAGCAGCAGTCTGGAGTGTCAGTCGCTAATCAGGCTATAGCAGGAGCACCCAGAGAAGATAAACCCATGGGGAAAAATGGGTTGGTTTGATAATAATTGTATTCCTTAAAATTGAGTTGCTTTGCATCAGTTATAGTCCTTTCCTTTTGTTCTTTAGGAGAGTTCTTTATCAGCTTTTCCACAGTTTTGCCCAGATCGATGCCCAGGTGTTCTGTAGT